GCCCAGAGCAGGCCCCAGCCCAGCAGACCTGCCTGACCATACCAACCAGAGCCACCACCAGGCTTACAGGCTCAACCTGGGGTCCTGTCTGGACGTGGGTGGAAGGGATCTGAGGCCACCCAACCCAACCCCCACAGACAGAAAGGGAGACCAAGGCCCGGGGGAAAACAGGGAGTGAGGGGTACAACAAATCTTAGCCAGCCCGGCCTCAGAAACACATCCCTGCCCACAGTCATGATGCCCTGAAGCCAACCACTCATTAAAGCTGGTGATGTTTCCTCCTCAGCCTCTGGGAACGAGCTGGAAAGTTCTGGATATGCCAGCACACGGAGGTGAAAGCTGATGCAAACTGGCCTCAGATGCCCACCCCCTGCCCAGCCTCAGCCTTTCACACCTAGAACACACACAGCCCTGGCCACTGAGAAGGCCTCAAGTCAGCAGAAGACCCCTGGATAAAAGCGCAGTCCCAAGCAGGCAGCTATCATGGTGCATTGTTGAGGAAGGCAATCTAGACGCTCCATCAACTCTGCAAAGCCACATCCTTCCACTATTTATAGATAAGATATGAAACAGGAAAGGTCCGCTCCCCATTGCAACTCCTCAGCCTGGCTGGCACTGCCCAGCAGGCCCCTCTGGCCACCACAGGTGCAAAGAGTAAAGACCTAAAGCCATTCCTAGCTCCTCCCCTAGTGTGATGCCCTGCAGAGACCCTCACCATTTGGGGTCCCAGCACCCAGCCCCAAGACCCCAGTCTTCCAGACCCAGCTCAGCCACCCTGCCAGAGAGCTTCCCTGTACCCTGTCTGCCCCACTCCACCCTCTTCCTGCTAAGGTCACAGTTCTCTCTCTCTCTATTATTATTATTTTTTCAATGGAAAAAATGTTGGCTGCTATTCAGAGGCTGGGCCCGCCCCCAGGAGGCACCTTTCTTACAGAAGCCCAGGCTGCCCCTTGCAGGTCTCCTGGCTCAGGCCCACCATTTCCTGCGTCTCTCACAATTCGGGTGAGTAGGTGAGACTTTCTATTTGACACTGTGTGTTTTTAAACATGTTTTTCTAACAGGGTGTCCTTGAAGACTAAGCACTAGGTAGACAGACAAAGCCCCACCACTGACCTTTCCTCACTCAGACCACAGGAAAGGATGAGAATTAACCTGTCTTCCCTGGCCTCGCCTGAGACAAGGCAGGTGACTCAATGGAAATAGACCAGGTGACAGAAGATGCATAACGTTTGTCCCTCCCTAGCCAACACCTCACTTCCCGCCTGAGCCTCCTTCCTCCTCTTTCAAGGGAAGTCACACCCCCAGCCCTGCTTGCTTGCAGAGTAGCGGGGAAGTGACTGGGGCAGCCCCAGCAGTGCTTAGGAACACATGCTTTGGAGAAAGAGGAGCAGGGCTGGCAGAAACTCTACAATAGCTGTATGTCCCTGAGGCCAGGTGTGACTTCTCTGGACCTCTCAATACCTAATCCTGACAGTGTCACAGGGCCACTAGGAGCCATGCCCAGCCACATCCAGCACCAGCTCTCCCCCCACACCACATACACAACTCCGTGGGGACAGGCACTGTGTCTGCCTAGAGTGAAATATGGCACAAGACAAGGTAAGCCATTCTGAATGACAGGATCCAGGCCTGGGCCCACCAAGCAGCACCTTTGGGATTCTCTGAATTTATCCATTAACCAATCAAACATTTCAGAATGAGGATCTCAAAAGTAGCACCATCAGCTCACAAGGAGAAGGCTGGGAGGAAATGGACACTTATTTGGTGCCAGCTCCATATGGTGTTGATACAATTTGTATGTGCCAAGAGAGTGACTGCATATCTGTCTGGCTTTACAGATAGGGAAACTGAGGCCCAGGTGACCTGATGACCTAAAGTCAAGGAGCTAGTAGGCTAGAGATAGGTCTCAAACTCAAGGCTGTCCAAAGTTAAAGCCCACCACCCACCTGGACATCCCTCTGGGATGTGCTGGGCAAGATGGCTCACCTCACTTTTACAAACATCTGGAAGATACCCTTGTAAAACTCTGACTTTGCTACAGGCAGGTGGCACCTCAGTCTTCCCCTGCCTCCCCTCCTAGGCCGGAGCTGTACATCCCTTGATAAGCCTTGCCAATTGGGAGCCCTCTTACCCCAAAAGACAAAGGTCCCTCCAGCTTTCCTCATCCTGTCCTCAAAGGGGATAGGGCACAGTGCCTTACACTGCCTTCCTAGCACTTTGAGGGGCCAAGGCAGGAAGATTGCTTGAGTCCAAGAGCTCAAGACCAGCCTGGGCAAGTTAGTAAGACCCCTTCCTTACCAAAAATGTACAAGTTAGCTGGGCATGGTGATTCTAGCCTGTGGTCCCAGCTACTCAAGAGCTTGAGGCAGGAGTATCATTGGCGCCCAGGAATTTGAGGTTGCTGTAAGTGATGATGACACAGTACTTTAGCCTGGGCAACTGTCTCAAAAACTGTCTCAAATCAAAAAGAGGGACGGGGGAGGACCCCATTATAGTATTTCCCTCTCAGCATTGACAGAGGTAGCAAGGAGGCTGGAGCAGGACCAAGGGCCACAGTGGTTACCCTGGGCCTGCTAAGGGGGCCACCAACCTCCTATTATAGCCACCATGGCCAGCCCACACAACAGCTGCTCAGAAAATGGCAGCGGTCCACCCACTGGTGTGTGCAACAAGCTTTCCTGCCTGGCCACGGGCTGATCCAGCTTTGGTGACACTCTGACCTCTAGGGAAGGCATTTGGCATGGACAAAACCCACTTTTTCCAATGCTGAGCCCTGCAACCACCTGATGGTGGCTTCTAGGAAAAGTTCCTTCTCTTTGGGGTGGAAAAAGATGATTCACCCAGTGCTAATGTGCCTGGCACTGTGACTCCCCCGCTCCCTACACTCTTTCTACAGGGGAACCAGCAACCAGCACCACAAGTCAAAGAACTTTCCGAGGGTCATGGCCAGATGCCATTGAGCTGAGATTTGCCCTAGGCTGGTGGGTCTCCAGGAGCCTGCTCCCCAGATACCTTCTCCCACTGATGGAGAGCCAGGCTGCCAGCCCATGCATGCTCTGGCCTACTGCTGGGTAGATGTGCTGAGGCCTTCTGAGAAGGGTGGGTGGGAATAGGTTAGCAGAGGCCCCCAAGTGTACAGGATTAAAACTCTCATGCACCCAGACCCAGTGAATGCTGCCCAAAAAGTGCCTGTGAATCCAGGACCTGTGCCTCTGCAAAGCTGGGACTGACTGTGGCCCTGGCCTCCAGCACTGTGCTGCCCAGAGGTGGGTGCCTCTGAGGACGGCACTTCCGTTCCATCTTTTAATTGGATTTATAGGGTATGCACAATGGGGTCTCTGTGGGCTGAGTTCGGCTGCCTGCCAGGCCAAACTGAGGCAGGCTTCCCACCAAGAGGGAGGGGTATCAGGCCCCCATGGAAGAGATGAGGCACCAAAACCCTTATCAGCAGTCTGGCTTGGCCTGCAAGAGGCTCACAAGGACCCCAGGTTTGGAGAGTGGGAGGGAGCCCACAACACCACTACTTGCTTGCCTCGAAGGATTTCAGCCCCAATGCCAGAGAGCAGGAGATCAGAAGGGAGCTGCAGCCACCTGTACCCCAAGGCCAGAGAGGCTTCAGCCCCTGTGGACCATGCTAGGCTCACCCCTCATTTCTCCAGCACTGCAGCCCCCCTGTTCTACTCAGTCCTCCGCAGAAGCCAGCAGCTTCTCATCGTGCCTGGCGTGGGTGAGAGGCAGTCAGAGCAGTAGCGCCATGGCCAGGAAGGGGCCTGTGCACTCTGGGAAGCCACGCATAATTAATCACACAGCATTAATCCGCCTCCCCAACAATGGCTGCCGCACTTCCCCTGAATCCCAGCTGTCGGTCTCTGAATGAAAAGAAATAAGATTTAGGGCATCAAGCGTCCGTGAGGCTTCTGCAGGGGGAGAAGAGGGCCCCAAAAAAGCAAAAAAAAAAAAAAAAAAAAAAAAAAAAAATATGCATAAATTACCATCTGACACAAACACAATCGGCAATGACTATTAAACAGAACACAGACCAGCTTAATTGGCTTCAGTTTGGGGAGGGGGTGGGGAAGGAGGGCTGCCTGCCACAGGCTGGGCAGTCAGTGAGGCAGGAGCCAGGCTGGGGGTTGTCAAGGGAATGGGCCCTTCAGCACTTGGAATGAGGGCCTGAAGCCCGGCTGGGGAGCCACCAGGGAAGCAGGAGCCCTCCCTCCAGGGTCCCTCCCCCCTCCAGCCTCCAAACATTTATCATTCTCATCAGGGATAAACTCAAGTTGAAGGGCAGGGGCCACAGCAGCAGCACCACCCAGAGGCTGACTGGTATTCGAGGGCAGGCGGGCAAGGAGCAGATTCCAAAAGGACTTCCCAGTGCTCCCCATCCTGCAGCTGAGGACCTGAGGCCAGAAACTAGAGTTTGTTGATGCCGGGTGGAAACCAAACTCCCAACAGGGAGATGGATGCCGTCAATGAAACTAGACCCAACTGCTCTTCCCCAACCTGACCCTGAGGCCAAGGAGGAGTGAACTGGGGCAAGAAGAGCCCAAAGGCTAGGTCAGTTCCCTGCTGAGAGGGTCACCTGCCCAGAGGAGGCCTCACCTGCCCCAAACAGGTGCTCCCCAGTGAGCAGGGTGGGGGTGGGCGGGCCTCTCTGAATACAGCCCAGAGACCACTAGCAGGTCAACTGTTTCTCAGACACATTGGGAAGAAATGGGGCACTGGGTACTGCCACCTAGTGCCCCAATAGCCTGCAGTGGCCAGGAAGGCAGGCGTGCTCAAACCTCCAGCAGCCAGACCAGCCCCACACACGCATAATTGCTGCTGATTAAGTAATTGCCAGACTTTGTCCAATAAAAGTCAGCACGTGACCGCGCCCAGCCTTCTGGGCCATCTCCAGAAGACAATGGCCTAGTGTTCTGTCCCCTGCCGGCCTGCTGTAGAAGGCAGGGGCTCTGTTCCCGACAAAAGCAACAGGTCCCCAAAGGGGCGGTACTCACACACAGGCCTCTGTGCCATTGACCACTTCACACTTCCCGCCATTCAAGCAGGTCTCACTGGGCTGGGAGCATCGCAGGCCTGGGGAAAAGGCACAAGAAGAGAGTCAGCCTTGCCTGTGCCAGGGCCTTCATTTCCTGGGCTCAGGATCCACTGATCCACCACAGCCTCCAACCAAGGGGCACCATCTGCCTCTCAGCTCAAAGGCACTGTGCTCAGTGCCAGGGGCCGCCAGGAGCAGGGACCACAGGAAGTCCGGCATGAAACCCAAAGGCTTCAACATTCTGCAGAGAGCTCTGTAGTCAGGGATGGGGAAACAGGGAACAGTTTAGGTAGTGGGTGAACAGGTCATGCTCAAAAGAGGGAGGTGGCTTGATGAGCCACCTGGACAGCAGCAGAGTAAAGCAGAGATGACTTGGTCTGCTCCCCCAAACTTTGTACTCTTGCACCCTCTGATGCTGGGGCCTCCATCCAGCCATCGAGATGATCTCTCTGTACAAACACATTCTACTAGAGGGCTGCATTGGACAGGGGTGGCCACGCTCTACTTCCCTGCTCGTGGGAAAATGCGACAGCTGCTCTGCCCGCTGCCTCTCCTGCCAACAAAGGGCCCGCCTCTGAATCAGAGCAGCCCATTGTGGGCCAGGGCCGCCCCCTGGGGCTCCAAGACTGCACCCCAGGGACCTGGCCCCACCTCCACTCACACCCAATACCTGCTCCTAGGGCAGGCAGAAGCCCCCCCCCCAAGAGAGGGGGATGAAGATCCTCCATTTGGAAGGGATTCAACTCCATTCTGAGACTTATCAAGCTTCTCTCTCCCCAGCTGCTTACCAGGGCTGCCAGGGATGAATAGGGTGGTGGAGGGGGGAGAATGAACATGGAGCCCAACTTTCTGGAGAAGGACTGACAACTCTCGCTTCCAATTTTTGGAGGAAGTGTGGAATTAATCACTAGATTTCCGGAGACCCCCTGGACGAGAGTCGAGGGAGATAAACAAGCGCTCCCCCTTGGCCACTCCTGCCCCTACAAGATTTTCAGACTTAAACTCCCTAAAGCAAAATGAAAGTCAGTCCCGCAGAGCACAGCCGAGTTTTCCGAACCCTCCCCCAAACTGTCTAAGAGCTGAGCTGAGGGACAACGCTGGGCCGGGTAACCGGCGGGGGCCCCAGCAGTCTGTCGCCCCGCACCCTGCCCCGCTCCCATCCAGCCGCAGCCGAGTCGGGCCGTGTGGGTCAGTAAAGGCAAACGCTGCACCCCAGAACCCACACTCCACGCCCCAACATCCGCCCCTCGGGCGGGCCAGAGGAGAAGAGAAAAGAAGATAAATGGCCCCGAAAAGCAACAGGAAACCCAAACCGACTCTATTCAAATCGAAAAGTAGTAGGCAGCCCGCCCGCCCGCCCGTCCGTCCGCCGGTCCGTCCCAGCTGCAAGCCCCACGCGGGGCTGAAGGGCGAGCCCAGGGTTAGGCCTCCGAGGTCCTCAGCACCCCACGCCTGGCTTCATACCCGGCTCCGAGGGGGAGGGCCGAGGAGGAAGGCGCGGGACTTCAGTTCCCCCATACTATGGGCCACCCGGTCCTCCCTCCCCTCCCCGGCCGCCCGGTATTCCCGTTCCCAGCCACCCGGAGCGCGCGCACGCGCGCGCAGGGCACCGCCAAAGTTTCCAAAGGGCGCGGAAAGTTGCGGGATTGCTAGTGGACAGGCGCCTACCTCGTGCGCCGAGTGCGGGCAGCAGCGCCAGGCAGAGCAGGGGCGCCAGGAGCGGCGGCATGCCTGCCCGCCGGCTGCCTGCTGCGCCCGAGCGGAGGCCTTCTGCGCTGGGCCGGAGGGGCGAGGGCGCACACAAGCGCGCCGGATGGTCCTGCGGGCGGCGGCCCACTACTGCCCTCCCTGTCCCCGGCTAGCGGGCGGCGCTAGGCTCTTGTGGTCTCTCGGGCCCCACTGGGCTCCCAGCTCGTTCCTTCGCTGCGCTCGCGCCCGCGCCCACGCCCCGCGCCCAGTGCCCCTGCGCCACCTCCCGCGGCCGCGGCACTACTGAGGCGCAGGACCGAGGTGCGCTCCGCCCCCCGGCGCCCGCCCCGCCCGCCCTGCCCCGGGCCACGCCCCTCGCCGAATCTTCCTCACCCCTCACCCCCTCCGCGGCCGCACCCCTCCGCGTGCCGGGTCCAGCCTTGCGCCTCTGGCGACTGGGGCGCGCATCCGGAGATAGCCCCATAGGAGTTGAGGAGCACCGGGGAGCAGGTTGAGAGCGGGCTCCTAGGGACTATTTCTCGCTGGAAAGTTTTCAGACCGAAAGTTTGAAACAGAGCTGCGGAAGGATCCGGCTCTGGTTGTAGCCCAACTCAGCGACAACTGGCGACGGAAATTTGCATCTCAATAGCAAAGGAGGCCCGGGAAGAGTGGGGAAGGCGAGGCCCCGGGGAGCCGTGTCCGTTGGGGCGCGGGACCTGGCTAGGTGGGGAGGAGCAGCTGAGGCCAAGTTTGAGTCCCTAACCCAGCAGCCTCACTCCCAGGAGCGTGGCCACGGCTTTAAGCGTCGGTGGGATCGAGGCCAGATACCCCTGGCCGTGACTTCCGAAGCACTTGACCGTGAGAGGTGGTGGCGCCACGGCCGCAGCCTCTGGAGAGGGACGAGGCGCCTGGAGTGAACAAACTAGTGCCAATGCCTCGCCGGACGGATTCCCCAAGAGGGACCCGCACCTAAACAGGTCCGTGGTCACTATGGTCCTCCTGCCCCGGGCGCCGCCCGCCAAAGGTGGCCCCTGAAAGCGCACGCGGCTCAGGCAGACCCTCTGCTAGCGCCGCCGCAGTCCCTTCCACGTGTTCCTTCCGGCTGATTTATTTCTTCACTGCGATGCCAGACATGGGCGTCCTGTGCCAAGCCAGGTTTAGCGCTAGGCGTCCAAAATGCAAGCAGGGAGTTCCTGCGCCGCCGAAGTTCACGGTCTCACTCTAAGGCCGACCAGCGCCCCCGGCCATCCCAACATAGGGTAGCGAGTGCATTGACTGAGGCGCACATCCTGCGAACTCTCCCCAGTGGAAGGTGGTGCCTGAGGGCAGCCCTAGCTGAGTGACTGGCGATTGAAGATGGAGATGGGGGCGGGGGGTAAGAGTGCCTTGAAAGTCCCAAAGGTCCTGGAGGCTGGTGGTGGAGGCGCAGGAATGGGGCCGACCTTCACACCTGACCCCAGCCTGCCTTTTTTGGCACACCTGTCCCAAAGAGTGGTGTGCAATCTTGAACCGCCAATACGGACAGCTGTGCTGGCAATCCCTCCCACCCCCCCAGCTTCCCCCTAAGCTGGCCTCATTTCACAGAGCCAGGGTAACATCTTGGGGTCAGTGCCCAGGAGAGGAGGCGCCTGGAGGCATCAGAGATGTTTATATAACAGCGGCTGCAGCCTGGAGGAGCCGATTTTCCATAGAAGGAAGAGCCGGACTGGGCAGTTCCCAGGCTCAGGATCGCACACCACGTGCCTCTCTGTTCCGCAAGTCTGAAGGCCTGGGGGACTGCTCCAGTCACTACTTGTGTGCTTCCATTGGTGGGTCTGAAGCCGTGCCCTGGAAGCAGGTTCTCAGCCTTCTGCCTGCAGACAGCACCTCCACTCTGGGCTTCCCGCCTCTGCCCCCAGGGAGGAGAGTGGCCAACTTGGTGGCAGCTGTCAGCCCACTTAGGAGATGGACACACTCAGCCTACATCACAGATATGGCACTGGGCACACAGGCATGAGGGAGGCACAGGTCTTGGCCTCCCAGGCTCCCCATCCCTGCCCAACCTGCAGCTGGACTGCCCTGGACAACTGGAGCTGAGGAAAGGCCAGACAGGGGCAAGTGGGCATGAAGCATTTTCATTCATAAATTCCTTTTTACCAGGCCAGAGGGGCTGGCAGTGAGGTTGGGGGTCCTGACTAACAAAGAGCAAGTCCTGATGGCCTGGGGCCTGGAGACCTCCTGCAGGTCAAGTGGGCAGCCCTGAGCAGTGGGCACTGGGGGCACTGAGAAGAACATGGAGGCAGGAATTTGTGGGCACAGTAGCTGATACAGAAACACAACGAGAGGGTGAAGATTGGGAGCCCAAGAAGCTGACTGATGGGTGCAGCGCAGCAAGGCCTCGCTTGTGGGAAGTCTCCTCAGGCTTTCTGTCCCCGCCTACAATGGGAGCCAGGACAAGGTTCCCAGGGTACACCTAGGGGGGCTGCCTAATGAAAGAGTTGCTCCCACATTGGCTGGGAAGCCTAGAACAGGGGTGAGGCTGCAGGACCTGGTGTGCAGAGGGGAGGCCAAAAGTGTCTGGCAGCCACACCTTCTGCAGGGCCACCTGTAGGCGCTGATGGGGAGAAGCCCCTTTGACTGTGTACCCCAGGCAAACTGAATCAGGTCAACTCCCCTTTTTCTTATCTTTAGAGATCTTGGGGTTCCCTAGTGACTTTAACCCACCCCAGCCCTTCCTGTGGAGCCAATGTCAGCACTTCTAAGAGCAGAGCACACCACTACAAAAATCAAAAGGCAAGTGTGACCTGAGAACTATCCAGGTGACCTTAAAACAGACCAAGTCCTACTCTAGCACCACAGGGATTTGTTCTGCAGGTGTGTGGAGCATGTTTAGAGCCCCTAGGAGAATCTGACAGAACTTTGTGTCCCATCTTGGGGCTCTGGTTCCTTTCCTTCCTACAGCGTTTCATCTTGGTACTTGCTCCCCTGTGACTCAGCCCCACTGCGGGACAGGTAGCATGCAGCTCTCTGCTCTTTAGGAGGGAAGTTGAGGCTCAGATGTGTCATGATGAGACTGGTTCAAAGTCAGGCCTTGGTCCTCAACTGGCTGTTTGCATATGCGACAGGGCTGTGGCTGCTCCCCCCTGCCCCTTGCTGAGCTGGATTCAGACTGACCTTGGAGGGCTTCACCTGCACTCTGAGGATGGAGAGGCAGGATTCACAGGGAATTGCCATCTGGGAGTGGAGTCTGCCTCTCTGCCCATCCCCCATGCAGAGTGGGTCTCCCAGGCCAGATGTGCATCCAGCTGCCTGGGGCTTCTCGTAGGTGCTGGGCATCTCCTCTTATACCCTGCACACTAGCATTCGGTGTCAGGTGACTTCCCTGAACTCATCCCCAGCCTCATCTTCTGACATGCCCTCCCCCCTGTTTGTCCCTGAACAGCTCCTCAGCCTTGATATCCTTCATGGAGCCATCTCTAAGCCCCTCAGCCTCCTGCTCCAACCCTGACCTGCCCACATTGGCTGTGGCTTCTGGAGCACATGTCCCTGGCGAGTCCGAAACTCATGTGAGATGCTCCAGAAGGTTTGCCAACTGCCCTGTGTCTAAGAGATGCTGACAGGGTACAGGGCTGGGGGAGCCACTCGGTCTGGCTCGGTACACACCTGCTGGGTAGCTGCCTGGCCATCTCTGCCTCCAGGTACCTGGTGGGTTCCCTGGGCCCAGCTCAAGTACAGCAGCCCCCTGGTGTGGGTAAGACTATGCCCAGGGCCATCTCTGATTGTCACCCTAGTGGGGTGGTCCGCTTAGGAGCTCGTGCTGCCCATGAGGCATGGGCAGGAGAACCAGCACGCCAGAGGCGGGCCCTGCTAGTCCCCCCACACACATTGCTGGGGAGGGTGTTGCCCGGGCAAGTCCCCAGACAGGTACCAGGCCTTCTGAGCTGGTGAGCTGGTAAGGCCCTGCTATAGTGTAAGTTTGAGGGCTGCAGACCCGGCCATGAGGTAGACTGGGTGTGTGGGTCCAGATGCACTGCAGCCTGGGCAGTGGGTGCAGGCCTCAGGCAGAGACCATCTAACTGTCCCTGGTGGCTCAGGGCTCTCTGACTCACTGCCTGCTGCCTGTTGTCAGGCTCCTTGGACTGTTTTGAACATGTAGCCCAACTTTGGGCCCAGAAAAAGCAGCAGATGGCTCTGGGCCTGGTCTCCTAAACCTTGAGAAGGAAAGACCCCACTTAGACATTTCCAGACCCCAGATACTCTCAGCTTCCCAAAGAGCCTAGGCTGAGCTGGCCCTGGGCCTAGGTCACTCAGGGGTCAATGCCCCCCCACCCTGCAGTATTCTGGGAGGTCAGGGAGATAGTGAGGCCACATCCACAGGATACCCTAGGTGTCATGTGGGTTGGGGTATGTGTGCTAAGAAAGCTGCCAGGCCCTCCAAAACTGGGGGAGCTCCATAGAGGAGGAACATCAGGAGGGTGGGATCAGGAGGCTCCCTCCAGGCTACTACTGGCTGGGGCCCACAGGGATGCTGTCAGGACACCCCTCTCACCAACTAGCACTAAGGCTCTGGGTATTGCTGTGAGGCCTGGCGTGGCCCCCGGTCTGCCCATAGGCCCCCACACTCTATTTCCACTCTATTTCCTGAATAGATCTCAGCCCAAGGACCCCTGCAGAGCCCATGGGAGGGGCGCTCCCACCACCACTGGCCTCCTGCCTGCAGCAAGCAGCTCAGAACTCTCTCCAGAAAGAAAAGCCCCAGGGGACGAAACTGCTGGTCCCGCCCCTCACCCTAACAAACTCAGAGCCTCTGAGGGCTGAGTCACTGGAGAAGCCAGGCCAGGTTGAGTCCCAGCTCCTCTCTCTCCTTCTTCTTCTCCTTCCTTCTTCCTTGCCCCTCCTTTCCTCCTCCTCTTTTTTTCTTCCTTCTCTTTCTTTCTCTCCTCCCTTCTTTCCTCTCTCCCCCACTTTCCTTCCTCCTTCCCATCCTTTCCTTTCTTCCTTTATGGGGATAAAAATAGCTGGACAGCTCCGTTTTAAGAAAAAGTTTATTTTAATTTTCATAGGAAAGATGTAGGCTGCACAAAGCAGAATCCTCTGCCCCAAAAGGAATCACCGCAAGGAGCCAAGAGCCCCTGTAGAACCTTTGTCCCCGCTGTGTGCCCATGGGATGCCCAGTACCTGGGGTGCAGCCAGGGCCTTCCTGAGCCTCAGCCACCGGAGTTTCCCAGGGCTGCCTGGGTTTCCTCCCATTTGCTCCAGACACATTTAAACATGTTTAGAAC